ATTGAAATTTTCTCGAAATAGTGCTATTTTATTATCAAACGAAGGTCATTGACATTTACATAAGTCGTTGGTTGTTATTAAATAATATTTACAATTACATTGCATGTGTCATGAGTGTAAGATCAGGAATGAAGACGTACTTTTATTGATTGATTATCACATCAGCAGCCCCGGTTATGATACTTAGGGCCGATTGTTCAAGCATCAGTTTATTTTTAACTGTTGAATAAAATTGACATTTATTTGACAGTTTTTAGTATGGAAGAATTGTAAAATGTTCAAAGTTATTCCTCAGTTTAAATGTATCTGGTGTTGGAAAAATTGGCCTTTAGTCTTCTGTTGGTCTTCTGAGTATGCCATATTATAAGAGAATTTGCCGCAATCTCCACGCTTGGCTAGCAGGTTTATTTTTAGAAGAAGCTCATATTTATATGCTTCGGAGATTGGATTAAGGCATTAGCTATAATTTTCTGAGTTCCGAGTTAGTTTATATTATTGTTCTGAAGGTCGTATTCTCAGAGACTCGAGTCTTTAGTTAGAATGAGGATATGGAATGATCAGGCAGATTTACCTATATTATGTCGCACTAGAAACCTTTGCGCTTATACAAATTCAGACCCTCAGTGATATTTGGTTTTGCTTAGGAATCAAGCCTAGAAATAAAACTGCGAACTACGCAACTTTTTAAAAATATCCCGACATAAATAATTTGTTATATCTATCTAGCCTTCAGGCCGTATTTATCACTTTTATTTTTCAGAATCTAGGATGTGTGTATAAAAGTTATTTTCCTCGAACATAAATCTATTTGTCCCGTTTCTCTAATGCGTCCGACTCTCGTTAGGTAGTTCGATTCCCGCCTCGTATTTTATCCGACTTTCAAAGAATTGGGGTAATGTGTTTACTTCGAATATGTGGTCTTTGCCGTTTTATTATAGTTATGTAGAGTATTTATAAGAAAAGAAACTTATAATGATTCAGAGACCGGGCATCAGGGCTATCTGTCGGCTTACTCTTGAATCAAATTCTGACCAATCGACATTGATATTGTAATATTTCGTATTCTTGAGTTTCAACAATAGCGCCAATTGCATCCGTATTGCGTGGGTATTTAATGAACTAAATGGATTTGGCTTTATTGAGTTTGGCTTTATTCCGTACTCTGAATGCTATTTTAACAGCTGCGATAGGGGTTGTTTAGTTTTGACATTGAATAATTATTGAGTTTTCATTGGTTTAGAATTGAGATTGGTTTCAGAGTAAGCACCCTGATAGGACTGAACCTTTTAACCTGCGATGGAGGCTATAAGTAAATCCCTTTAATGTAGAGGACCATAGGCTACCAGTGGATGATCTCTGGGTGTTTTTGCCAATTCCGTAAACTCATCAGGTAAACTTTTCTGTAACTGTGACATTTAAACTGTCGAAGTGAGCTCGATCGCATTCTCGCACATCATTGGTCGAGATTATTCCCACAACCAATGACATGTCTGACCGCGATCGAGATCCCTTCGATCTTTCGAATTGAAAGTAACAGAGTAGCCTAGCAGTTCCTGATTCTAATAATTGGCAGATAATAATCGGTCTAGAACAAAGTTAGCTCTGTATGTTTCCTATGAACGGTAATGTGTGGTTACGTAAGGCATATGTGATGTTTTTAATGAGTCTATGAATATTAATAACAAACATTAGATTGTAATAATCGTTTTGGAATGTGACTAGTATATGGGCATTAAAGTGCGTCTAAATCTAAACGAAGCTACTCGCTTACGACCAGCTCACGTACATTTTTCTTCTTCATACGACAACGCCTGCGTTCAGGCGCTGCTGGAATCGACATGGGATGCCCTAATATTATTACTATAATATACCCAGTCTGTCCCATTGCCATGTAACTGCACTGCCCTTTCTCCCAACCGAAATGATCCGAGGTTCAAACCCCATATTTTTTTAAGGGGGGAAAATCATCGAAACTGCTCCCACCTGGGTGAGGCGAGAGGGAGTGTCAGACTCTTACTGACTAAAAACCACCCCGTTCCTTCTCCTGCACGTCGAGCCGGAGCCCCGGTCACCCGTTAGGTTCTACGCGACAGGGGTGCCCTCAGTGATGCTGTCATTTAGTTGTTAGGTTGATTTTGTTTATACCTTACAAAGGAGGAACAGTAGTAGACAACAGAGCGTACGGAACTATAAGAAGTCCTTCCAAAAACGAACAAAGCTTGGACAAATACGAATCGTTGTTAATGTTAACGTGATCCAATAAGTGAAAATACTCGCACTAGTCAGTCAGTTCGCCAGATGTGGGCACCATTGCGTAATTGCATTGCAAATTGCAACGTGAACGTGACACACGTAAAATCATATTATTTCTAATATTAGAAAAATAATGTTTATTGAGGGCTTTTGACCATTCAAAACTACCTACATGGTTTGTATTTGTACCTATGTGTGTGTTAACACACATTTCATGATTATTTTCATAATATTTAAATCATTTTATGCCTTTTTTACATAAGGAACACGTACTTAAAAGCAGTAGTCACAATTCATATCGAGTAGGTCTCTGTCTTGTCACCACTTAGTCGTGGTGACCCGGGGGTTTAAGACGCCCGCTTTTCATGTATCAGGATGCCGGTTCCTACCAACGACAAGTACCAATATGACTTTTTCCGAGTTATATGTACTTTCTAAGATTATCTAGAAACCACTGACAAAACGGTGAAGGAAAATATCGTGAGGAAACCTGGGCTTATAATTTCTAATTATAAGTTTGACATAGCCAACCTGCATTGAGCAAGCGTGGTGATTAATGGCTCAAACCCTCTCCGTGTGAGAAGAGGCTTTGCTTAGTAGTGGGCGTTTGTAGGCTGTTGATGATAATGATGAAAAATTTCTTGTGTTATTTTTGTAGGAAACATTTCAAAATGCATGTTATCATAGTAATAAAATAAGAAAAATAACACAATACCTAAACATGTGACTGTAGGTATACGAAATACCTACGTGTTACCCTGGGGCTTATAATTTAATTATAACGCAATGAAACATAGCTAGCAACGTCCACTCATTATTATAAATAAACAGTGTGGGTTCGCATATGAGAAGCAATCTCAGAAACTGCTGAACTGAATTTGATGTTTTCGTTGAAATTATTTCAGTAATTTTATTTTTATTACTGCGCCAGTCAGCCTGGTTAGAGGCTTGTTTATTGCAGAAGGTTTAGATATAAAATTGTTGTGATTTATTTTTATAACGAAACTATTTGCCTCTACAAATGAGAACGTTCCCACGCGTTAGGTGGGTGGTCTGGTTCTATTGGCGGCTATTTTCGAAAGGCTTTTTCGCTTTGAAAAATAAAGTGTTCTTATTATTGTCAAGTGATTTGTTTATAATCTTAATATGTACGTTTTTACAAATATAAAGGAGCTCCGTAGTCCCCCAGTAAAGTATCACAGGCTGATAATTATGACATTATACCATGAGAATATCTTGCCAGTTAACGCGCAAAATTGTGACGTCACAGCAAAATTAATTGGAAATTATCAATTATGACGTTCAATTAGTTCGAAACATCCATTCTAAATAATTCTAAGTATAATCTCGCGATTTGATGTTGCCCTGCTGATTTTGTTAATTCCTTCTACTGACTACCTACTAGATATGATTTTTTTTAAGGGGGGAGAATCATCTAATGGCTGCTCCCGCCTGGGTGAGGCGGGAGGGAGTATCAGACTCTTACTGACTAAAAACCATCGTTCCTTCTCCTGCACGTCGAGCCGGAGCCCCGGTTACCCGTTAGGTTCTCCGCGACACCTGCTAGATATGATAACATCCAGTTCCGCGAATACCTACTGTTATTATGTTATTTAACATGCATTTATTTATTCTAAAAACAAATACGATTATTGGGAACTGGTCTCATCGCATTCATCCGAATTTCCTCGATTTCCATTAGGAGTGTATTTTACGTAGATACTAAAATAACATTATGCTTCATACGGTTCTTATATTTATCTTATATCCGAATATACGACATGTTTCCTTTGTTAACCGACTTCAAAAAAGACGAAGGTTCTCAGTTTGACCTGTATGTATGTATGTTTGTGCACCATTATCTCGCAATTGGCTGAACCGATTTTCAGAAAAGTGAGGAGGAGCAAAAACTTGGAGATAGAAACACTTACCGATTACCAAAAGAGAGGGTGTTTGTCGGTTTTTTAAACGTAATTTATAAAAGAATCGTTTATAATTATAAGTTCATTAAAAAAATTGTTATACTACTTTTTTTCTTATGAGGTCAAACTGGGTTTTCCCATCGTGACCGACTTCAAAAAATCTAAATTAAAATGAGTGAATCGTAGCACCATTAAATAATTTAATTAGGTACTTAATTACTTAGGTGCTTTGGCATAGTAACGACTAAATGGTTCAATAAATAATAAAATCAATCATTACCTTTCAAATTGTATCGAACGGTAATGAGAATGCATCACGGACGTTGGCAAAATGATTCACGCGACAATACTGTTCAATTCACAGGGCACAAGGACAAGCAACTTTGAACTTTATAAACATACAAATAAATGTCACATTGGACGTTAAAATTTGTATTGTTTTTATTTGTTCTTGATATTTATTCTTGTTTAGATTTTTTATATATAGAATGGTTTTCGTAGTGGCGTTGTGCCAGATATTAGTGGCCAGTTGGCCAGTACGCTGTTTACAACCGTGGCGAATGGTCGCTGCGTTTTTCATATTTGAAATTCGAACTTTTTTTATTTAGTGATTAATTAAAAGAGTTCAAATGCCAAGAGTATGGATGAAGGAAGAAAACGCGGTTTTGAAGTATGATTTTGTGATAAATTGACAGAGTCTCCTAACATTTGTAATTAAGTGGTTGACAAAACTGAAGTTCGCGTGCGAATAACAATGATACTTAGCCAAAGTCAAATTTGAGTTAACTTGTAGTGCAGCAGTGACTTAGTGACAATGTGTGACAGGTTCGCGTTGCCTAGCCGAGGTGACGCTGTGGTGGAGCTATGGAGGTCGAAGATGGAGGAAGGTGTACTGGCACCAGCGCACTTCTTGGACCACTGGAGGGTCAATGTCCCCAGTATATATTCTCCACAACCTAACACGACTTGTTTAGGTGAGTTTTTAAAATTATTTTTTTTTCTTATACGTCCTCTAGATTCATTGATTATTGTCTCTGCTTACCCTAATAGGAGACATGTGTTTCTATGTATGTATACAATTTGAATTCTGATTTTTTACTACATTGTGGACATTAAACTGTAATCAACTAAGCACAAAAGTCATTTGGGTCATTAATTTGGTAGTCTAAAGTCTCATTAGCAAGTCAATATTTTAATAAGATAGTTATTAGGATTGAACTTTAGTCATATGTACTGAGACTACATAAGCAATAATGATGAGAGACGAAAAAAATCCATTTTCTAATTCTGTCTATTTTTGAGGGCCGAAAACCATAATGTGTTCGTAAGGAGCAGTGGCTTACGTGTATCTACAATTCACAGGAATAATCCGTAACTGAACGACCTATTAAAAAAATCACAACACCTGGTGTTGTAGAGTCCTATGTCCAGCTGTGGATAGAAATGGACGATGATGATATAGTCAGAGATATATAAGTAAAGTTAAATAAAAATGAGCTAAATAAAAGCAATGTCACAGAAACAATAGATAACCAATTCTAGAACACATCCCGTTCATGTCCGGACATTTATTTCTACGAACATGTTTACATGAGTCGACAATTTCGACTCGAGTACACAATGTTATTTTGTCCAAATTTGCGGAAAATATAATGATCAGACTGGATAATGCTCTGCGGTTTTTAATTGTCCATTTTGATATAATTTAAGGCGGCTTTTTCCTGGCACAATGTTGTTGATAATTAAATTCTAATATTATTTTTAATATTAACATTTAATATTGATAATGTTAATATAAGAACACATTATGTCAAATAATTGTACACCACGCTGTACGCACTATAAATGCATTAATGTGATTTGATCTCTTACATATCAAGCTACTAAAAAAAGGCATGTCTAATTGCCAAAATAAAAGTAAAATCGTCACCTTATTGAGAGATCTAAAATAAAAAATCTGCGTGTCGGATCTGACATTATTGTCCTTAGGGTTGATTTTTCCAACGCCAGATAAATACATACATAACTTCACGCCTGTCTCCCATGGGGGTAGGCAGAGACTAAGGAACGCCAATTACTACGATTCTGACATACCTCTTTCGCTTCATTAACAGTCATCAATCTTTTCATGCATGCTCGTCGGATAAATGTTATCTGAGGAATAACTTGACAAAGCTTCCATACTAAAAACTGTCAAATGACAATTTTATTCCACAGTTAACTGATGATTGAAAAATCAGCCCTTAGGGCCAATTTTTCAATGCTAAGATAAATTTTAACTGAGAAATAACTTTGAATATTTGACAATTCTTCCATACTAAAAAGTGTCAACTGTCAATTTTATTCTACAGCTAAGGACTAACTGATGTTTGAAAAATCGGCCCTTAAAGAAATATTAATGTAAGCAATAACAAACAATCAAGTCTGTCAACTCGAGATTGACAAAAACAGATTACATAGAAAACCTTTCAGAATGAAGAGGCTTATCAAATCAGATAAATATTTCATATACAAATCATTCATTCTTATTTTATTTAAGTATTTACTTATTGCAAAAACTTGCTTCACTGCCAGCGGCTTCGCCCACGTTATTGAGTTAAAAAAAGCCTGTGTTATTCCAGACTATAAGCTATTCCTGTGCTGAATTTTATTGAAATCCGTCCAGTAGTTTTTGTGTAAAAAGTTTGCGACAAACGTTCATACATCTTTTTTTAAATAACATTTAACATTCTAACCTAATCCTGCTACCAGACGTGGTGCAAATACTCAATGGTCGAGGACGCCCATTGTTAAGCAATGGACAGTAATGAGCAGTTGATAACTTTCGTTTCTATGACTTAGGATTAGCCATTCCGTACTCATTGTATTCTGGCAAGCTAGCAACTCACTCTGCTGCTTATCAAGCTATGCATAACTAATATAAACTGACCCTCGAATAGGCGGAAAGATTATACAAAGCGAGACATAATAAACATAACATAACATCACGCCTTTTTTCCCCGAAGGGGTAGGCAAAGGTGCACACAGAAGTAACACCCACTTTTCACTATTTATGTTAAGAGTCCCATGTAATAGGGGGTGAGACCATTGCCATATACCGGGAACATTTCCAGACTCCGTGCTACTACTGAGATTTTTTAAAAACCCAATAATATTTTGCCCAATCCGGGAATCGAACCCGAGACCCCTTGCTCGGCAGTCGCACTTGAGACCACTCGGCCAACGAGGCAGTCGAGACATAATAAACTGGTCTTGTATAGCTCGATGTGTACCTAGCTAACTTTTTAACTTTCCCTAGCGTGCTGTAAATGTCAAAGGGTTGTCCGCAGCCATTAGTTGCATGCCATCCTTGCATGCAATATGGAGCTTCCGGCTTTGTTCATTACTAACGAGTAACTACTTTTAAATCGATACTAACGAGTAACTACATTTAACTCGTCGAGTACCGGTTTTATAGACACAATTAAAGAACAATAGGTCGCGGTCACCGGTGACCGCTTGGTGTTTGACAGATTAAATCGATACTAGAGTGCTATGACTAACATTATTTTTCTATGCATCGTCGGTGTTGCACCTATTTTAAATTGTTTAAGTGACGTGATTTTTGAAATTAAGATTATTATTATTGCATGGTATTGCCATTTATTTTAACAATACTTTACTTGTGTAGAATAATTATTTAAGCAAATTCTTTGGGAATGTTAGATGAAATAATTAAAATGCGTAGATCACAACGAAAATTATGTATGTGAAGTTGAACGTTAATGAATTATCTTATAATAACTGTTTTCCTTATGCGCTTCTGTTGTATGTAACTCTTAAAAAGGTAGTTTGTTTCATGCTCACCTTGTTACCCAAATGCGGTCAGCGACCGGTCACTGACCTAAAAAGGAAAGTAGTACAGGTAGGAAGGTCTATAAATAGGCACTTTAAAACCCGTACGTAGGTAAGTTTTATACGTAAATTAAAATTTAACATAAATGAATAGGCGCGATCGGATGTTGAACTTTCGAGTCTGAAGATCGAAAAAAGTACTTACTACCTTGTTTTTTTATGGCAAAAACCGGTAAACGAGCAGACGGATCACCTGATTGTTAAGCAATCGGCGTCGCCCATGGACACCTGGAACACCAGAGGCGTTATAAGTGCGTTACCGGCCTTTTCGAGATTAGGAATTTGAGGATCGTTGGGGATTCAGGGATTGGGGAGATTGGGGAAGGGGAGGGTAATTGGGCCTCCGGTAACCTCACTCACACGACGAAACACAACGCAAGCGTCGTTTCACGTCGGTTGTCTGTGAGGCCGTGGTATCACTCCGGTCGAGCCGGCCCATTCGTGCCGAAGCATGGCTCTCCCACACTTACTTATATGTAAAATGTTACTAATAAAATAAATGTGAAAGTTTGTGTGTATGTTTGTTAGTTGATCACGTAATAACGGCTTGGAACAGGGACACATTATGGTCTGGAATAAAAAAGTAGGCTACTGTTTACACACGGGACCGCGAGCGAAGCCGCTGGCGGAAGCTATTGATTAAATATGATTATATTCTTATGTTTTTGATGATGAATTAATGCGTTAATTTTAACAATTGACTTCATAGAATTATATAATTAGAAATTGATTCATAGGAATTACGAATAATGTACCTTTTTGCGTAAAAAGTGCACTTCTAATTACATCAAGTTTTGAGTTTTAAATATTAGAATATTAGATTATACTCGACGTACGAAGTCTATGCATTCTTGTACCTGAATGTTGCAATAATTCACTTGAATGATTCTAGCTCACGTCCCACCGACATTCCAGCTATCGTTTACCTTACACACTGCTGTGTACCAAATAAACAAATTGAATATACATTGCAACATTTTTTGTACCGAAGTAATATGAACGCTACGCCATGTTTTTCAAATAACCAGAAGTGCACTTCACATGTTAAACGTGACACTATTACTTACCAGTTATAAGTGGCATGTAATAGGGATTCTACAACATCACTGCGCCGTACACCTGACTTATACCATGAGTTTAAAGTATTACCAATATCTATTTTGTCGGTACTCGATAGCGTCCACGTGAATTTTTGTTTGGCATTTTTACAGTGCCTGTAACGGTCACTTGGGAAATACCATGGAAATTACGTCGTCACTATCGAGTATTGACAAATTGCTTTATACTCATGGTTTTTACATTACCTCTACAGAATAGACGCGCGATCTTTTAATCGTCGCAACGAGGTAATCGGTTGGGGTAATGTACGCATACAAAATCTGTTAGTTCTCTCTATTCGAGGAATGTGTCGAATTCAGACTAGATATTATTATGCACGGCCCGGGGTCAATGCTCCCGCTGAATTTATGAAGCTATTGCTTCAAATGTATAGTCGACCCATATCGTTGAAACATTTGTTTGTAAACGCCGATCTTATTTTTAATTTAATGAAGAAAATGTAAATTGAATTTTTTATGTGTTATGTGTTTTTAACCGATGTGCGGTTGAGTGTACCATATAACATTGGAAATCAGTGACCAGATGAAATATAGCAACATTATACTTTAATAACTTCACGTTGGTAATAGAATGGAACTTCTAGACGGAGCCAGGCCATTCAAGCCCCTAACAAATTAACCAACCATACTATTTTATTATTCCAGACTATTCTTTCGACGAAGACCTAGCAGCTGATCTGCTTATTCAGCCCCTGGAGCAGTTTGTGTGGGGCAACAGTGATGGATCCCAGCCGCCGTTACCACGACGGTCGACCCTCTGTGGACGAGTGTTCAAGCAGGGTGATCCAGCGTACAGCTGTAGGGAATGCGGTCAGTATCAAATTCTATGAAAGTTTTAAGACTTTTCTAATGTCGTTGTTAAGTTAGAGTAAAGAGGAGTAAGGAGTTAAGTCTCTATTTTGGGTTAGCAACTTTGACTTAAGTCCCAAAATGTAACTGCATGTAATGTTCCGACTAGCAATTGTCTCATCGACTGTGTTATAAATCCGATAGTGCTAGAATTTCTTTAGTATTCTTATTGAAGCTAGCTAGGTCCAGAGCGGAGATTTATTGAGACAAATAAAACATTTTTCAGTTATATTTATAAATTAGCAAGCTTACGCTGCCCAGATTGGCCGGCTCCAATTTACTGACCAATGTCTCGTTTCGATTACTTTATACGTAAAACAATCTCGTACTAAGGCCTCAGACATTAATTCAATTCGTGCTATTTTTATGGTATAAGACGGCAAACGAGCAGATAGATCACCTGATGCCGCCCATGGTGACCTGCAACATTAGAGTCGTTGTGATATAATTGCGTTTTCGGGGTTAAGGATTTGGGAATGGTAGAATTGGGCCTTATATATTTCAGCTGTCGCGGAGAACCTAACGGGTAACCGGGGCTCCGGCTCGACGTGCAGGAGAAGGAACGGGGTGGTTTTTAGTCAGTAAGAGTCTGACACTCCCTTCCGCCTCACCCAGGCGGGAGCAGTCATTCGATGATTTTCCCCCCTTAGAAGAAAAAATAAATATATTTCAGCTATGTTTATTTATCGTTTGTATTTCCTCAGGTATGGACAACACTTGCGTATTGTGCGTGGAGTGTTTCAAGGTGTCAGCGCACCGGCACCACAAGTATAAGATGGGGCAGTCCAGCGGCGGGGGCTGCTGCGACTGTGGCGACACCGAGGCTTGGAAGAGGGATCCCTTCTGCGAGTTACACGCGGTAAGTAAGCTTATATACATATTCGTTGTGATACTTCATGCACTTACATAATTAAGTTGGGTAGTACTGAAGTTGTCAATATTCTCCTAGTTTTAATACTCATCTCAGTAAGTGTTAGCAACGGCCTTTTCTTGCAGCACCGTTTCTTGACCGTCCATCGGCAATGATTCTTGAATAAAATTTATAAAAAACAATAGACCACGTGTGATTGTTTTGTGTTTAGGAGTATGAGTAAGAAGTAGTTACTAAAGTAAGAAATAACCTATCAGTGGCGAAATCTATTCCTATTAACAACGAGACTCCTTTATGTTAGTAAGTTTTTTTTTATGGTATAAGCCGGTAAACGAGCTGACGGATCACCTGATGGTAAGCAATCGTCGCCGCCCATGGACACCTGATACACTGAGGCGTTTCAATTGCGTTACCGGCCTTTTGGGAATTGAGAATTTGAGGATTGTGGAGGATTCGGGAATTGGGGAGACTGGGGAGGGGGGGGGGGCGCAATTGGGCCTCCGGTTATCTCACTCACACGACGAAACACAACAAGCGTTGTTTCACGTCGGTTTTCAGTGAGGCCGTGGTATCACTCCGTTCTGTGTTTTTCAGAAAGACTAGTGAAAAAAATTACCTTTCGATTGATTAAATTTTCTCTCTCAGGCGTCTGAAGACGACAAGCAGGAAGAGGCTACCATTAAACCAGATGTAGTGGAACGTATGAAGATAGTGGCGTCGGTCACCCTCTCATACTGTCTGCGACTGCTGACACACGACCATGCGCCCGGACTACCCAATGATCTCAGGTAAATGTTACCATTACTTACAGAATGTAGTTCGTTTTCAAAGGTTTGCAATACACATTCGTGACACATCTAGTTTAAAAAGAAAATCCTAGTACAGACGCCAGCAACATATTTCAAGCACTCAACCTTCCTTTTTCTTTTTGTCTAATTTCTTTATTAGATTTTCAACTTTATTGCTTTAATATATAGTCGAAAGTACAATGAAATAATTGTCAATTTAGAGTGGCTTCTTCGTTCACTAGCTCACCTTTGCCGTACACAACGGCGAACAAAAATTAAAAATATCTCATATATTTTGAACAAAACTTAAAGATTGTCACCTAAATCACAACAAGAAACGTAAGCTTCGATCGAATAAAAAGAGTGCTAATAATACAAAGAATAGTACGTTAACTCGTTGCAGGCTGAAAGACGCGGAGCGCGACCTCCTGCAGATCCTCGACCAACCAGACTGTTACTGCACAGTCCTCTATAACGACGAGACACATACGTTTGATCAGGTATGTTCATACATTTTATGACACAAACATAACATCACGCTTTTTATCAGGCAGAGGTGCACAATACGGCATTTAATGCCACCGTACAATGTAACACCCACTTTTCACTATTTATGTTATGAGTCCCATGTAATAGGGGGTGAACCTATTGCCATATACTGGGCACAATTCCAGACTCCGTGCTACTACTGACATTTTTTTTAAAAACCCAATAATTCTTTGCCCGACCCGGGCATCGAACCCGAGACCCCTTGCCCGGCAGTCGCACCTACGACCACTCGGAATTATAAAAGTACTTTCTTTTTTCCAGGTCATCACGACTCTAGTAAGAGTAACGAAATGTAACCAAAGAGATTCCTTGGAACTAGTTAGTTTGATTGACCGCGAAGGTCGAGCGCTGGTTAAATGCAACTCGTTCCAAGTCTGCGACAAACTGAAGACCGATATCGAAATGTAAGTGTTGGCCTTTATGATAACTAATTTTCTATTACAAATAAATATTTTACAAGGATCAGCCAAATTTTTTCTAATATTATAAAGTAATTCTATGCATATAATAATGCAGAAATTGGGTATTTTTGAAACTCTTGGAAGTATAAATTAATGTTCATCTGACAGGTTAACAAAACAAATATTACGAAATGACTCATGACGTCACCATTTTGAACCAAGTTATGACGTAACGAGGCCTCTTTTACTTCTTGTTGAATTTACCTCCTGATATACATGATTACTGAATATAAAATAACATAATTATATTTATCGAATGAATGTTTGGCTGGTCCTTCAAAAAATAATTTAAACGAGAACTGTTTTATAACGAGAAATTTTCATAATAATGAATCAATTAAGTTACTTTACAAATGAAATTGCAAAATCATTTTGTCAAAAATACAAATGTTGAGATATTTTCGTATTTTTTTTTATAATAAAATTTTAATGATTAACGCTTTTCACTAAAACCACGTTCAGTTTCACATACACGGTGTTTTGTTTTATTTTTAATTTCATCATTGGCCATTTTTTTATCATTTTTCACAAAGAATTGGAACGATTTTTCTTTCGAAAAGTGAAAATTATACGCACTTTTGTTTTTTATTTTATCATTTTTAATTCAACTCTACTATACAGGGTGACTTGCTTGTTACTGGAGCATAATTTCTTATGAGGTTTTATAACAGGACATTTATAAAATATTGGTGAAACAAAGGGATGGAGTCGATGGAGATGAGCACTGGTAATAATTTAAAAATGGACGATATCATAAATCAAATCTTTTAATAAGAACAGTACTCTTCCTACAGTACAGTACAGTACTTCCTGTAGTCGGGTAAAAAACGTACCAGGTACCTAATTTATTTACTAGTCTAAATCAAATAAATAAATACTAACCATCTCTTAAGATATGTACTTGAAATGAAAGTTTAATGATAGATATGACGTCCGTACATAAATGACATTCCATTCAAATTGACGAAGGCTACTCGTTATCACTCCTGTACAATTTGTGGAGTGTGAAAACGGGCTCCATAACCCCACACGAGATTATATTTTAGGAACAATTAAGTCACTCTGTGTGCAGACACAAGTATAATAATTTGCAAAAACTAACCGAAGCGTATTGTTTTCTTTTTTCAAATGATTCAGTGTAGCTTTGTCGCTTTATGAATACCACCCCGTCGCCCCTCCGGGGGCAAATATAGACGAACTAATAGTAGAAGCAATGATTATTAACATGCTACCGGCGTTGCGTAACGAGAGTCTAAAGTAAGTCATTTATATTTAACCTTTTAACCGTCACTGTCGGCTATAGACGACAAACAGTACTTTAACAGATTAAACGTCATAGTAGGTGACCGACTTTAGCGGAGGATTTGCCTTCAACAATTTTCTATTGGCAGTCAAAGCTTGAGATTGACGTTTTCTGGTCGGGTATTGCATACGGTGACGGTATAACACGGCTTTCGTTTGTCGTCTATACCCGACCGTGACGGTCAAAAGGTTAATATTGATAGTAACACTGACTGCAATTTGTTGCTGCATTCATGTTGCATGCCGCGTTGCGCAACGACGTCGCTTTGTTATGAGCATTCTTTGCTTTTTATCAACACTATTAGTATACAATTTGGTATTATTTGTTATTATAAAGCAGTTCAGTGTGTAATATAGTTCAATGTTAGTTCGTACGTAGATTCGATTTCATACATCTGTGTAGGCCTGTCTCGCTAAGTACTTTTTTGTTTTGCTTACTTTAGCTTAGATTTTTCTTCCTTATGTTTCGTTTGTACAACGTGTAGCATATACATATAATATATTATTATGCTACACTGATATATAATATATTATTTTGCTAAACTGGCGGAGATTTGTAACCTGGGAAAAAGTGTCTAGCAATAAAAAGTATAATACATAATAAAATGAAATAAAATAGCCATTTATTTCTTACAAAATTATATATTAGATAAAATAACGGTTCTTTGTGCAAGGGAAAACAGTATACCCCCTTTTGAATATTTCGATGGTTATTTTTTATAAATATCATTTTCTATCGTTATTTACTTAGCTTGGTTTATGATTCTTAGATTTTTAAATATTTTAAAAGTCAATCGTTACTTTTTCTTCCATTTTAATTACAATCTTAAATATTCTGCTAGAGACTTGGTTCTGGATTCTTTAAATTATACCTGTTACCCATTGTACAACAACAATAGGTTTAACTAAAAATCGCCGGTTACTCACTCGAACATACTGAAAAAAACTACTAGTTTCGAACCACAGAGGGGTTCTTCCTCATCAATAGGCTGCGCGATATCGCCGCGACCGTGCACGCTGCTCATGAGTAAGATCCCCTTTGTGGTTCGATATTAGTAGAGCTTTGCTTAATATGTTCACGCGAGTAACTCGCGATTTTTAGTTAATTTAGTATGTCTTACGATAGTTATTACAAAAACAATAAGTTTATTTTTTTACATATTAATTTTCACTCTCATTTATTCAGTAATAATACTAATTATGGCTTCCTTTTATAACGATTTCCTATATCTTATAACTTATATTCATTTAATATCGGTGTCTATTTATGAATTAGGCCTATAGCTATAGATGTGCGAAGGCGAATTAATACTTGACGCTTTGTACTAATCTCTGCGTAATTTCTGATAGCGTTTTAATAGTAATAATAAATATCTTCATTATTCTACTCTTGTAAGGAGAAAAGATGTGTCTAGTGCATAATTTAACACATCCCATTTATTTTTCGATCCCTTTGACTGGATATTGCTGTTACATTGATCTCACATAATTCTACCAACAAAACGCAAGTAGAGAATTGTGTTGTTAACCAGTTTGAAAAAGATTTTTTTATTCTGTATTAGAATTATGCGATAACGTCTTTCTTCCTTATGACAACATTCTTTACTAACACTTTTGCCTAAATTAATCTGGACCTTTAGAATTGTAATTTAATTCGTAATGGAGCGTCATTGTGAAATGGCTGATCTATATCTATCGCAATATATTTATATTTTCCCCTTCATCATCATTTCGTACGTGACAGCGTGGGAATTCTATAAAAAGCCTTTCTTAATTTTATAAGGGTGTCAATAATTATAATGTATACCACTCTTATTAGGGGCTTGAGAAAAATACCTCTAACAATTTTCAATCTGATACAATAATTTTCAATATTTGCGTTGCTTATACCTTGAAAGATTAATGATAAGGTATGTCCTTACTTGTAACAACATGTAGCGTACCTATTTTCTCGTAATTATATAAAAATGGTAAAAAATCTACACAACAAAAGAATTGATATGACGTAAACGTCAAATTTCCCGCGCTGTCAGTGTACTGTCAGTTGTCACTGTCATAAATCCCCTGATCCCTGGTCTGGCACTGGTGTGGGGTGATGTTGAGATATGTGCTCAGCTGTACGGCGATGTTCGAAAGGTTCACGTCGCGCCATGGACCCAGCCTCAAGGTGCTCGTCATGCACGCCCACGTCATCGCGCATCAGACCTTCGCTATGAAGCTGCTGCATTGGTGAGTTTTACTTCATTTTTTACGGGATAAGGAGACAAATCAGCAATCGATCACCTGGTAATAAGCAATCGCCACCGCTCATGGACAGACAGCAACACTAGAACAGTTACAAGTTTTCGGGATTTGGGGATGGGGATTGAGATTCCAGCTGATTGAGATGGAGCCGATAGCGCCCTGCGACCTTTATTAGGTTGTATGTCCACCTTGAGGATGAACATTCTGCGTTTTATTGTAATGCTTACCTAAACATACTCATCAGTGACTAAACACAGTTGTCTTATTCCAAAAACCAAGGTTACAAAACTTCGTAAGTCAAGAACCAAGTCTTCGACTGGCCGTTAGCCAAGTGGCGCTTGGTGAAGAGGTTTGGGGGGCTAGCACGTCGGTGGGAGGTGGTGGCGGGGTCGCTTGTGGGGTCATGCAGAATGACTCGCGCATGTGGAAGGCTGCCCGCACCGCCTGGCACCGGCTTCTTATCGCCACAACCCTGATGGACTACTCCACGAAGAAAGCTATGGCGATACTATTCACTAAGAATTATGGTGAGTTCTTTAAGCCGCTGCCTAAGGGCTATCGAGGTTAGTATTTCATTAATCATCATATAAACCTGAAGACTTCATTCAACTGCTGAACATAAGCCCTCCATTAGCCTCCTTATTCATAATAATAATAATAGTAACGTACCGTAGCTAGATGTTACTATTATTATTATTACGGTACGTTAACTACGACTGCCTTATTGGCCGAGTGGTCGCAAGTGCAACTGCCGGGTAAGGGGTCTCGGGTTCGATTCCCGGGTTGGGTAAAGTATTACTGGGTTTTAAAAAAAAATCTCAGTAGTCTAGAAATGTGCCTGGTATATGACAATAGACTACTCCCTATTACATGTGAAAAGTGGGTGTTACATTGTACAGTGGAATTTAGTGCCGTAATGTGCACCTCTGCCTTCAAGGATAAAAGGCGTGAATTTACATTGTGTTATCTAGCTACACGTGTACGAGCACACCGCACAGGTGTTTACAAAAAACAGAAAAAATAAAAATCATTCATTCAACTTAATAATACTTTTAATAATTAATTATTGTTTAATATATCGTCGCACTCTTTTTTGTATTCTTCAGTTTCACGTTCAAGTCTCCGTTTTAGCATTTGCAATTTGATTGCCATTCTGTGTATTTCACGCTGTAACCTACGCTCTTCTTTAGCCATTGCATTCCGTCTTTGTAGTTCCTTAGCCTCCTTGTGATCAAGTTTTAACATACTTGCATCGTAGCCACCGTTGTCCTGTAATCAACAAATAACAATATAAATATTTGTATCTTACTGTTTATGGACTTCCTTGGAATATAGTTTGTGTTTTTAGTGATTTGTTCTGAGTTAACTTTTACCCCCGGGAAATAACCTATTCCATTCTATGTACTACCAATCCGCCTAGATGCTAAAAGCAAGCGTGGTGATAAATTTCTCTTTGAAATATTTTTGTGTTGTATTATTTTCTTTACAATAGTTAAATTCTTTGCTTTTCATTGTTAAATTCTTTGCTCGTTGCACACGCGCACCCGCCCAAGGGTTAGACTGGTAGAAAATGCCTGCGGCGTTAAGTCCACCCATGTGCTTTTTGTGTGCATAAAGATTTTCAGATAAATGATTTTATTATGTTGCCAAAGGTATTAGTCATAGTTGTTATTGATTTACATATTTTTCTAAGCGTTTCTTTTGTTGATATCGCCAAAATAACGTGTAAAAGTATTCTACCCCAATTTTTTCCACATTTAAAATCCATTTTATAATAAATATCTATAGTATAAATTGTCATTCGGATTTGAACAGCAACATTTACGGGGATGTCGGTCATCAAACGATTGAATGTGTGAATTTGTGGAGGTAGCATACCTTCATTTTTAATAAATATTTGTTAATTTATTGAAATTACTTATTGTGCTCAAAGAACTCATTGTCCTCTTTGAGAACTCCGCGAAATAATTGCAAAAACAATAAAGATATTATAAATAACGACTTCAGTTGGTAAAATATAACAAAAAAAAAATACCACGCGGACACAACTATCAATAATAATAATTATTGAATGAAGTACTTACGTTTTCTTTTTCGTCACAGCTATCTGAGCGACTGCGTTTTTGACTCATTTTTAACAATAATGACAAATTAATTCAAAAATTTTTATAATAATTTCTCCCGACACCTTCGTCTTACCGACAATGTATCGAAACAAACAACTGACAACTAACAGCGTTCTTGTGAAACTCAGTCACTTATGAATGACATTGAATGAATGACGTTCATTCATGGTCATTCCTTTTCGTTCAGTTACTCACTCTTTTTTATTATTGTTTTTGTTTGGGGTGTGGGTTGCCACGTTATTCAATGTTACTTCATGTTTATTATTAATATATTATATTATTAAGTTTAATATTTTTTTATTTAGCGATATATTGTTTGTAATTACTATTAATTAGTAATTAGCGCTTTTTATTTAAATTATTTAAATTGACACTATTTTAAAATGTAATAAAAATTTGCATCAGCCGGATTGAAACTATTCGTCTATTTTGCTCGACTGCGATATCTAACCCAAGCCATGTAGATGTTTTTGTTTTTTTATTGGAAATGGTTCTGGTGTTTAGCCACAGTCTGGCCTGGTGGTAGGCGATGATGCGGCTTGCAATGGAGTACGTTTCCTTTAAGGCACATCAGTACCTTAGCTCTGGTTATAATAGTTAAGGTACATCAGTACGCTAATTTTGAGCAAAATTCCGACACATGCTGCTAAGTGACAAGTGCTCAATTGAAGCATCTTGAAATTAGCATGTGTAACAGTACCTTTATCAACCTCACATCATTGCAGGAGGCTCGTAGTCTGGCAGAGTTGTTATTGAAGGATCTCATAATTAATCTTCTTAACTTTTTATCTTCCAGGATCAATACTCAAAGATTTTATCAAGGACGATCATGACCATTCGTTCTCGATATCTTCTTTGTCGGTACAACTGTACACGACACCGACTCTGGCGCACCATCTAATCGCGAAGCACGACGCGTTGTTCGTCGTTATGAACACCTTCATAAGCGAGTGTAATCGACGCTGTAATCAACAAACTGTAAGTTCTATAATACTTAATATGAGCTTAACAGACCTACACTTACAATGTGTGCTTGCTGGTGAGAAAAATACTAACGGGTCAAATACAATCTGAGATCAAGTTTACTTTGAGATCATTTTATCACTCCTTGAGAAATGCAAACAAGATTAAACTACAAAGGCACAAAACAAATTACGGTAAAAAATGTATAACATATGAGGGAGCGCAATTGTATAATAATTTGCCAAATAATATTAAGGAATGTCAGTCGATTGCCATGTTCAAAAATAGGTTAAGAAAATATGTATCTGAAAATATTTATTAATACCGTTTGGTCATAACTCTGTATACATAGCTATAAATAGTCATTTAAGCTCATTGTAAGTGAACCATGTTCTTTATGAGTGAATAAACAATCATTAAACTTAATTTGAAGAGATTTTTGACATGAAATATTAGTTGCAATCATTTGTTATTCTTATTGATGTACGAGTAGTCCCCATTATAACTATCGATCAAATAGCTAGGGGTGGGGTTCGATTTCCACATTGGGCTACTTAGCTACTCTATCATATTTGAGTATCTTAAGCAATAAGTAGTATCCTATATATAAAATGGAACTTCATAACTGGTGAAAGAATAATGAGTACCTACATTAAAATTTATTTTTAATATATTTTCTATTGGTTATAAATCTGTGACGTTCTAATATTATATTATTTTCTTACAGGGTCGTCTAGAATTTGACAGGGCAAACATTCCTCTGGCTTTTAAGCGAGCGCAGTTCATCCTGTACGATGTGAAATACCTCCTCAGTTCGGTACCCACCTCCTTCGACGATGACCTTCGCAAGGGATTCATGCATGGCATGTCTCTCATGCTGAACTTACTCGTCATGATGCAGGGCATGGATTCTGTCGTTAGACAGGTTGGTTACTAACATTTTTGGTATCTTTGTATTATAACTTTCGTGAGACATACTAAATATATTATTATGTTTTCGGCTTACTCACGTAATTATTTGACGAGGAACTCGACTAGTTTCAAGCCATGCTAGGGGCTCATATTCATGAGCAACATTTCGCGACCCGCGACGCGACGGCAAATAATTACGTGAGTAAGCCGAAAACATAATAATATGTTTTTGGTGTCAGTTGAATTTGGGACATGACATGTCTAAGTATTCTTTTTGTTATACTTAATAAGATAGAAATTAATTCATTATTATGTCTGACCAACTGAACATGAAGTCTCGGGTTCCGCCTAGTTTGGGTCAATTTTGTAAAGTCGTATTTAAGCGAAAATTCAGTTACTAATAATATCTACGCAATAGGGATGATGACAGGGTATGAAAATTAAAAATGTAATAAGTCCGTCAGTTAGGTAATGAAAAAATATTAGACATGTATTTTTTTATTTTGTTGTATAATAAAATGATACTTAGATATAACGAATCGAAGTTTAGGAGTGGGGCTAAAACGTAATTTCTACGTATAAAATGTACATAGAATAATAATAAATGTACGTGACGTCACTTCTCACATATTCGAAACTATTCGATTCCGTAAAAAAAATACGTGTCTAATGTTTTAAAATAATCTACCAGACGGACATTCAAATAAAATCTAGTATACTACCCTGTTGACCTTAAGGCTATAATAATATTGATGTTCCACTAGAAGCTCACTCACGATGTTAATGTAATTTCAAAAGAATATAACATTCAATGTTTCTCTTTTCTATCTTAAGGTCGGGCAGCATATGGAGTACGAGCCCGAATGGGAGTCTGCCTTCAATTTGCATGTCAAACTAGCCCACAGCATCACGCTCTCACTGGAATGGTGCGCAGCAGAGAAGACTCTGGCCACCGCCCTCTTCCGCATGGCTTTGAGGAAATACAGTGAGACTTACACTCCGTCACCCAAGGTTTATTATGGTTAGTAATTCAGTATACAAGACTCTATGACGAAAAGCAATGCTTGTTGGAATGGATAACGATAGAATGGGGCCTACCGTATTTTTGCTCACCGTTTGACGCTGGTGTGAATCTCTCGTTCTTCGTCCAATAGGGAATTAGCCAGTGTTACACCATCACAAGTTCACTATTTGACAGCTGCTATGATTGGATAAAACATCCATCCTACGTCAGCGCCATCGAGTGAACAAAAGAATGTTAGCCCTCATTTCTTACTCGTTCTTTTCTTTAAGAAACAATTGGGTACTTTCCTTAATCGAATTAATTATTTCGACTGTTGATTACATTAAAATATTAAAAAATAATCACACTTTCATTATTTGATTTCACGACCAACTTAATTTTAGAATTTTCTAGCTATTTTATAAGAAATAAGTATGGTGTTTGGTGCTAAAAAATACGTGACATCACAATACACATTCTCGTACAAAATTCATAGAACAGTTCGAAAAGTATTGAACTTGATTCGTTGCAAAGTACCCAATTAGGAGCGACCATCTAGCTTCACTGACGGACAATACTATTGTTTGATTAAAAATCCTTTTTGTTACAGAGCTAGGCAACCAGAGCGCGTCAGTGATCCCATACGACGTATCTACTAAGCCTGTGTCCATCCACCGGCCACTATCTCGTTACATCGCGGGCTTACATCTACTGTTGCATGACCATGGCCTGTCCTACCACAGTAAAGAGTTCGACCGACAGGATAAACCAAAACCGACACCTGTTGAACTCATTGGTAAGTAAACATGCTTTATTATGTACTAGCTACCCGCCAATATTATATTAGTTATTATACATAACTACCTGCTTCCGCGTGGTTTCACCCGCTTTGCTCTGCTCCAATTGATCGTAGCGTGATGGTTTATAGCCTGCCTTGATAAATGGACTATCCAACACAAAAATATATTTACAAATCGGACTGGTACTTCCTGAGATAAACGCGTTAAAACAAACAAAGCTGCAGCTTTATATAATAGTAAAAGATTATAAAGCTTCTTCTTGAATCACTCTTCTTCTCACTCACTCACTCAATCACTCACTCACTCACTCACTCACTCACTCACTATTCATTTAAAACCGCATCAAAACCCGTTGCGTAATAGGGACAAACAGTGGAAAGCAACATTGTTTGATACTATGTAGTGTATCAATAGATCCTTACGAATGCAGTATCATAGAAATAGGTATGTACATAAACATTTCGATACCACGGCCTCACAGAAAACCGACGTGAAACAATGCTTGCGTCGTGTTTCATCGTGTGAGTTAGATTACCGGAGGCTCAATTACACCCCCTCCCCAGTCTCCCTAATCCTCAAATTCCCATTTCCCAAAAGGCCGGTAACCCCTGGCGTTTCGGGTGTCCACGGGCGACGCCGATTGCTTATCATCAGGTGATCAGAAAGCTGGTTTACCGGCTTATCTAAAAAAAATTATATACACACAAATTTCTTGTATATATTATTATATACCTAAGATAAGATGACTTAAAATATACCTTTTTCTTCCAGAGCCAATCCTGCAGACGATGGCGATGATAGGACAAGTGCACGCGGGTATGTGGCGAAGGAACGGATTCGCTCTCATCAACCAACTCTATTTCTACCAGAACGTCAAATGTCGCGCGGAGATGCTCGACAGAGATATAGTCATGTTACAGGTACGGTCCGAAGTCGATTGGCACTAGCAATTTCATAAAACTATGGTATATTAGTAGCAATATACGTTCTTATCTAAAGATTTTTTATAAACTTAAACGCAGTGTATATGGACTTAAAGTCAAATTATTTTTGGGGACTTCCACCTGCTGCAAATTGTTGACAGCAACGGGCGCGCCGCGACTGCACCCATTTTAGTGATTGTCGGACATTATTCTTTAGCTACAAATATAATTCATACATGACAAATGTCCTATAAAAATATCACGGTACCTACAACTCTAATGTCGGAATACTGAAACGCTACTCAATTTTAAGTCGTGCTTAAGTATAGTTCTATCTATACAAATTCTTTGTAAAATGACAGAGATGGCACGATATTTGAACACGACTTAAAATTGAGTAACGTTTCAGTATTCCGGCATAAAACTCTCGAATTTTAAATATTATTAAAGCCGGTTCTACACTCGCGGCGCAAATGGTCGCGACAAATGCGAATCTCGAGTGTAGATGTTGTTCGCACTTCGCATCGTTCCCCGATCAGTGGCGGTTGTGAATGATCTAAAACTGGCCCCCATTGAATGTCTTCAAGCCGAGCCGATACTTTTTTATATGCTTCTTATATTTAACACAACGGTAATTGTAATACACAATGGCAAGTACCTACTGATATAGCAGCAGCAAAAATCACATCGTCGTCCATGACAGCTGCGGATAAGACTGTGAAGCTTTGTGAGTGTGGAAACACACATTGACTGCACCGTTGGCGCGGTGGTAGGGCAACTGCAACCCGCACGGAACAATTCTTTGTGTGATCCACAGATAGTTGTTCCAAATCTGGGTGCTATGTGTATGTGAACTTGTATGTTTGTAAACGCACCCATGATGAAGGAGAAAATACTAGTGTGCGGTAAAGTTTAAAAAAAAAACATATCGCGCGCGGATCACCTGCGTTATTTACGGCGCGAATTCATGGCTCGACGTCACACAGGAATGTAAAGCCGGTTTGAAATGAAGTACCTATAGTAATAGAAGTTGTATTTTATTACAGATCGGAGCCTCTCTAATAGAGAGCAATGAGTTCATAATTCACGTGTTGAATAAGTTCAAACTACTGGACTGGGCGAAGCCCGACTTTGAGCGCACTTCGGGGGAAGACGCCATCAGGCATTCTATACCCATGGTTGAAGAGTTCCTGGGACTTCTCATCACCAGTAAGTACCACATAATAAAAAATAAATAAATAAAACTTCTCTCTTATAATTAAATTTTGTTTTATACTCTTTGTTCATATATGTATGTTTCACAAGGTTATCACTATCGACTAGTTTCGAGCCACGTTAGGGAGGGCTAATAATTATAAGTCACACATTGTTTGTGGCATAGGGCGACAATCAAGCAGACGCCTGATGGTAAGCAATTGGCGTCGCCCCAGGAAAAAAAACCTCACTTACGCGTCTCCATAATGCAACCGTTGTTTCAAATAAGAGAAACTTACATAATGATTATTTTTCCAGTTTACGGGGCTCGCTACGTCCCCGGTGTAGGCGAGGTGACCAACGAAGATCGCACCATGAAGGAAATCATACAAATGTTGTGTGTCAAGCCCATGCCACATTCAGAACTCAACAGGTATCTTCACTTCTTTCAAATAACAAAATAATTAATATTTTAATACCATTAAGTTCATTAACAGAGTGGAATACATTTTGGTACCACTCCTCTTCCCGCGGGTGTTACAATAGACCATGGAGTAGCACTCGTTGGTAAACCTGAACCTTTCAAATTGTGATCTCCAACCGGCCTGCCAAGAGTAGACAGAGCAAAATCTCTTTTGTAAAGGAGGCCAATTGTCCTGCAGTAAGCTGTCATGATGATATATTTCCAGATGTCTCCCAGAAGATCAGCTCCATGAAACTGGTTTAGAAGCAGTCATCCACAAAGTAGCAGATTTCATCAAGCCCACTAGTGGGAATAACCGCGGCGTTTACAAATTAAAGCCGCATCTGTACGACGAGTATGACACATTCTTCTACCACTATACCAGGGAGGAACTGTCCAGGAGTGAGGAGGAACAGAGGAACAGGAGGAAGGCTGCAGGTTTGTTACTTCATCATCGTAAATGTCATTAGAACATTTGTATATCATGTACAAATTCACAAGCCTTGTGACAGATTTTCACGACCAATTTCCTCTCGGTTGATAATTTGTAAATAAATAGAGAGTTGTATTATAAAGCGTTCTGATGTTCAGCTGCGGCGCATACGGTGGGTTTTGCAGTGGCAGCCTCCAAAATATGTATAAAAAATCGAAAAATACGTCGTCTCCGTAATACACTTGTTCTTGCTATTATAATTTAATTAGTAGCTATCTAGTAGAGATAATATGTAAAAAGAAACTTATAGTGGGGAGACTGCGATGTTAATTAATGTTTGGTATTTATGATAAATATTTCGTTCCAGGTCTTCCAGAATGCTGTCCCCCTCCAATGCTCCCGAAGCTGGCGCCTCCATTCCGTCTAATAGCCAATTTGCTACAATGTGATGCGGTCCACTATGTACTGAAAACTGTGTTCGAACGGGCCTTAGACCTGAGGGCCAGGACCTTCTCCGAGACACAAGTGCATAAGGTAAGGTCTATTTTTAATGTTGATGGTGAAATTAAAAATTTTTTCGTTCCGCCCCGTTTTACAAAATGGTCCTGTTTTTGTATTAAAGAATTTAAAATATATTTGCAGGCGTTGCACCTGATAGGCTACGCGTTGCGTGACGAGGAGAGCGGGCACTACGAGTTCGTCCAGTTCGCGGAGGGCGCGGCCCGCACCGGCCTCGTGGCGCTGCTGCAGCAGCTCGCCGTCAGCCCGCGCCTCGAGGCGCACCGCGAACTCGCGCGCTGGGTGCACCAGAAGATACGGTCAGCGACCTACTATATTCAATACATTTATTTATATACTAGCTTCGCCCGCGTTCCCATGGGATAAAAAGTAGCCTAAGTGTTATTCCAAACCATGTAAAGCAATACCAGCTGTTTTGTGATTGAGTAACAAATATGCATAAGCTCACAAACTATTGCATTTATAATATTAGTAATACACCGGCCTCTCCGCGCTACTGCAACAACACTATGTACAGGACAATGTTCCATATTTTTTCAAGTTTAATCTCAAATATTACAATATTGTTGCACAGATCTCTGCTCGGACAGAACGATGAGCATGTCGGTGACGGGGAGAACATGGAAACGGACCAGGAGGAGAAACCTACCAACACCGAGACTGCCGGTATGTACACTATCTTACACTAATTATATTATCACTCTGTCTATCTGTCTGTCTATATATTATAAACAAGATTGTCTATAAACTAAGAAAGTACCGAGGGTCATATCTAAAATACTTGTTGCAAAACTTCCATGAAGTAAAGTTATGTTTAACAGCTTATGCCGAATACTGAAACGTTACTCAATTTTTAATCGTGTTTAAATATCGTACCATCTCTGTCATTATACAAAGAATTTGTAGTGACAGAACAATACTTAAGCGCGACTTAAAATTCAGTAGCGTTTCAGTATTCCGACATTAGTGACATAACTGTTTGACGAAGTAACTGGTTTCAGCCATGTTAGGGGCTCATAATAATAATGAGCAACATTGTAGATCAAGGGTAAAGGGCTAGCAAACATAAAACTTACTATGAAAAATTAGTCGGGGTATAAAGAAATCCTTTTGTTCCAATTTTAGAAGCTGAAAAGTCACGTCGCGCGAAGTTAGCTGCGGAGCGACGTGCTAAGCTGATGGCACAGATGCAAACACAAATGAACAACTTCATATCCAAGAACGCCACACTTTTCGAAGAGACTACGACTGAGGTAATTTATTTATACTGTAATTTATTGGGTTAGTCATAAATAATAACACAGTTTCAAATAAGTATTGAATTTAAGTTTAAGAAGATTAATTATTTTTCGATCTGTAAATGACGTTAAAATGCTATTTGTTGTTTAAATGCTATTTTTACTTACCATACATTATTATACCATGTATTATTCAAGTCATATTTAAATGTAACGAGAGTTAAGCTAGTATTTTGCAGTCAACCATATTTGTGAAGAGTTTTTGCCCATTGCTTGACACGTTTACTTATTTCGTCATCGCATTCATCGACTCCGTGGCGCAACGGTAGCGCGTCTGACTCCAGATCAGAAGGTTGCGTGTTCAAATCACGTCGGGGTCAAACTGCTCTTTTTGTGATATTTTATTTATATGCATTTAATTTTATATCTTTTTAAAAAAAATGTATTTTAATTCAATTATTTTTGAGTTTAGGACTTCAGAGTAAGTTTTTTTTCTTTGTTTTATGCAATGAGTATTGATTTTATATTGTAATTCGCCTGCCAAGCGTAGGTATTCACAAACTTCTCTTTTATAGTGATCTTAGTCCAACTGTGGACTGTATTGACGTATAATTGATTATTTCGTAATAACGATTTGTGACGTTGTTCCAGGTGACGGCGGAGGAGCAAGAGTTGCGTCCATTATACCGAGGCGCGGCGCTGGGTGTCTGGGGGGGCGGCGTGCCCGAGCCTACGCGTACCTGTATTATGTGCCAAGAAGAGGTAACTGCAATATATACAGATCATTCATAATTAGTGTTGTTTGAGAAGAATTCCTTATCTATTTCAGTAGTTGTGTTTACCGATACCTGGGGCTGTGTTTTATTGTTTTTTTTTTAATAATAGTGCATAATTTTCAGCAATAATTTTTTTATGACAATTGGCTTACACCTGGGATTCATAACGTTGACATTGTGTTTACCTTTGTCTACTTATACTAAAGTAATAAGCGTGATTTTATGAATTGTGAATTATTATTTGTAACTAACGAATACTAATGAGTTTTACTTAAATATCGTGCTCTGTCTGTCATTTTATAAAGAATAATATTCTTTATCTTCCCTTCTTTACATATTATGTAGGAATAGAAGTATAAAGCGAGATTTAAAATTGAGGGGCGTATGTTATTAATGAATAAATCCGTTCATCCGTAGGCGCGCGTACAGCTGACGGGCCCCCGCGTGGTGCTGGTGGCGTACGTGCAGGACTCGACGGTGCTGAACCGCATGCCGCGCGACAAGCGAGGCCGCGTGGCGGACGCCTGGCGCCACGCCTGGCTGCCGGCCGGCCTCGGCCTGCAGCCGCACGTGTCCAGCTGCGGACACATCCTGCACGCGGAGTGCTTCAGCAACTACATCGACAACGTGCAGGACAAGGAGCACAGGAGGTACCCACTACTACTACCGCATTCGTAACGCGACTTACCCAAAATTGGAACCAGCTATGACAAAAAATCTGACTTTTTAGAGAGCACAACTTTAAAATAAAGTACCGTCATGTAGGCATACGAAAACTGCACTCTTTTAGTGCATTCAAAACCCAACTTAGCCAGTATATAGTTGCAAATCAATCACTTATGGGGTAATAATCGCATTAGATGGGTGAATTTGTTTCTTATAATTATGTAGTCTATACCTGATTGATTATGATGAACTGTATGTAAATTTAATTTCTTATTGTTGTTCTCAAATAAGTTACAATTTCCCTTACTTGAGAACAAGTTAGTGACACTTTTTTGTTGAGAATAAAGTTTCGAGCGCGTTCGGCGCTTTGATTCATTGATTAATTCCAGCCGATCAAAGCGCCGAGTGTGTTTTAACTCTTTGAGTACCGTCATTATAGACACAATTAAAGAACAATAGGTGTGCGGACACCGGTATCCTCGCAGTGTTTGACAGTTGAAATCTAAATAAATAAATAATGGTTTTTTTAAGCTAGATTGAAAAAAGTCAAAACATACCTAAGAAATAAATATTTCAGATAATAATTTAATAATAAGTTATTACGTAGCATCATACATTTGACTTTGTAGTGACAGCAAATATTATACCTTATATTTTTCAACAATGTAAAAAATGTAACAATGTAACTCTTTTCTTAGACCATATCGCGGCCGGCAACCAGCAGCGTTTGACGTGGAAAGGAAAGAATACTTATGTCCTTTATGCGAACGCCTCTGCAATGCTGCACTACCTATACTCCCTGCCCCGCCCGTGCCGAGAGAACCCGTACCACCACTGAGTGAAGAGTTGTATATCGAGTCGGTTAACTTGATCCTCAAACTGAAACATCAAATCACCTCCAGAATTGTTCATATTTGTACTGAATACTGCGATGACAGGCTCTGCCGCGCCCGAGCAAGGAGCGTCGGACCTATGTCCGCAGATATGGCGGAGGCCGAGCTAGCCGATAACACAGAGATATACGTCTCTACTCACTCTGAAAATCTTCTAAAAGAGGAGTTCTTACACCACTTTTTAGTTGAAACTCATCCCTTCAGAGAACGTGGTAAAGGGTTGATTTTTGATTTTGTTGAAGTGAGTATTTCTAAGTTATTGTTTACTTAACAAAGTTATTGTCAGTAAATAGAAGAAATACTAATAAGCTTGTCAATTTGTTCACAGAAAATTCCAGTCTCAGACTATGGTGGCCTGGCATCAAGTGCTGCCCTCTACAGGTCGACATCGTACACTATAATGAGCACTAATGCAGTTTTACGAGCTGAGAACAGGCCGTTATTAGGCGACCTACCAGCCAGATACAGGGAAACTTTACAGGCTCTGATCAGAATGACAGCCGTTTTACCTGCAGTCTGGGAACCACCCAAACACCTCTCCCACCACGCACTCAGCTCCCTAAACACTCTAGAATGCAGTTCTCCCCTCACGCACGAACCGTTCGGTACTCTAGTCTCCCTAGTTCTATCCGCACCGTGTCTCTTCTGCAAAGTCGGTGGACCAGCCAGACCGACCAACCTCGCCAAGGCGTTCACACTACAGTGCTTCAGGGCCACGCTAGCCAGGGCGCTACTCGTTACCGACGTCTCTACTTGCAAGAGCCAGCCAATGGAAGGCCAGGAGGACTTCAAAGACGCAGACTTAGAAAATCTTCTTCCTTTCATGAAGGAGTTACGGAATGGAGTTCTAGAAGACAATTTGAACCCTACAGAAGTCTGGCATTTGATCAAAGATCAGTGTCATACGTTCTTGCGGTGCTGTTGTCTGTTCTTTCACTTCTTGAGTGACATCAGCGCGCCTGAAGAGTTGACTGTAGTGGGGGGAGATACTTGGGAGGTTATGTGTGGGTACCTGGACATGCCGAGTACCTACAAAGAGCTGGTGGATACTCCTACAGCCAAGAAGAAGATCTCAGAATGGATTGGAATGTCCACAGAATGGTTTAACGGAGAGATTCCTGCTTGCGTCGTCATTGAGCCTAAAGAGCCTCCTAAGTAAGTAGTATTCTTCAATGTCGGTTTAGTCTATGTGTTAGTCCAAAACTCAAAACTCTTGACATTAACTCGTCGAGTACCGTATTTATAGACATAATTAAAGAACAATAGGTTGCGGTCACCGGTGACCGCTTGGTGTTTGACAGTTTAAAAGGTCTTATGAGCCGATATAACTTAATAGCGTAAGCTGTGGTGTTGTATATGTACATTTTCAAATAAATAAATAAATATATGAACGATGCATACAACTTACTATGGTCAGACTTTATTTCAACGAGATATGTTCAATTTTCAGTTTGATTTCGTTGCCCGAAGACTTCTCGGAGCTTATGAACTTGGTGTCAGAGTTCTCGTGCCCTAACTCCGACCGCGAAGACAGCAAGAAGCCGACAATGTGCCTCGTCTGTGGACAGATACTGTGCTCACAGAGCTACTGCTGCCAGGCTGATGTACCGAAGGTTTGTAGACTCTTACTTTTATGGGTTTTTTTATAATTATATTATATTTCTTTTTCTCCACGGACTCTAGTCCGCACCCTTGTTATTCATTTACATTTTCTTTTATTTTACAGTCAAAATTAATGGTTACAAAAATCTTACGTGCTACATTAACTGCCGACTGCACGATTGGCGCGGTGGCTGGGTAACCGGTTGCCGCGCATCGTGTAGCGGGTTCGATACCCGCACGGAACAACTGTGTGTGTGATCCATGAATTGTTGTTCCGGGTCTGGGTTTCATGTGTATGTAAACTTGTATATTTGTAAACGCACCCACGACACAGAAGGCAATCCTAATATGGAGCAACTTTTATGGGTTTAAACACATTATACTTGGAATTTATTTAGAAATCTCTTAATCTATGTGAAAGAAGCTTATCATTCGTCTTTAAATGGACGTGAAAAGAGGAGAGGACACGGATAGTCTTTTATTTCTTATGTTTGTAATTTGAAATCAACATCAACAACCTGTGACTGACCACTGCTGGACTATGCCGCGTGTAAACGAGGTGTATCATATCATACACTGCTTGGAAATCGCAGATTCAACTAGTTAGCACTATTGCTTCTGTCAAATGTGTAGATCTCTAGATTAGACCTACGTTTTAGTCAGTATGAGTCTGACACTTCCTCCCTCCCCAAAAAACAAAGACTAGACCTACGAAGGGGTAGGGGTGGTGACAATTATTGTCGTAAGACATACTAGTACATACAACTCGGAAAAAGTCACATTGGTACTTGCCGTTGGTAGGTTTCGAACCCGTACCCTTCAGGAGAAGCGGGCGTCTTAAACCTCCGGGCTACCACGACTTCATTACATATATAAAGTGATCAATCGAGTTATGAAGAAATGGTGTTACTTGCAGTGGAATCGGATTGGCGAGTTGCAGCGTGTGGGCGCGGTGGTGGCGCACTGCGCGCGGTGCGGCGGCGGGGCGGGCGTGTTCCTGCGCGTGCGCGACTGCGAGCTGCTCCTGCTGGCCTCGCCCGCCCGCGGGGCCAAGATGCCGGCGCCCTATCTGGACTCCTACGGGGAGACTGACCAGGTCTGTCCACATCTTCTATAATACAAAAATGAATCGCTGAATGTGTTGTTAAGCGGAAATCTCAAGAGCAGCTGAACTAATTTCGTTAATTCTTTGTTGGGTTTGTTATTGTTAGGAGAACGTTCTTATTTAAGGCAAGAAAATTTCTAAAGCAAAACTAAATTCATGGGATCTACCAGTGTTCCTATATTTTTTAGCTTATAATGTACCCTCAATCTACTGAATGAATGTATCATGAAGTGAATGAGTCAAGCCAAACCGTTTTATTTAGCGATCTGCTGTCTCTGTCTACCCAATAGGCATCAAATAAAATGTTCTCTAATTAACAAGGATACCTAAAACATATACTTTTGTAAAAATGTTACCAGTAATGAAAGCTCAAAGAGTATATATAAATTATAGTAGATCACAATATATAGTTTCTTCTTACACCTCATTAGACTAATTAATTTATGTAAATAACAATGACCAATATTTTCCGCAGGGACTACGACGCGGCAATCCTTTACAACTGTGCCCGACTCGTTACTCCGAGGTCCGCATGCTGTGGCTGTCGCACGGCCTGCACGAGAGGATCGCGCGCTCCCTCGACACCAACATACTCGCGACGACCGCCTGGCAGAACTTGTGATACATCAACGCCGGCAACCACTCAACATATTATTCTATCGCCATTTTCTATGAAAATCCGTGAAAACGACGATTTTGAGGGAATGAACCTAGTATACAACGTTTAGACACGTACCTTGCAAGTGTCTTTTCTAAACAAACATACATTTTGTTATAATAACTATCGGGAGTGTTGATTGAAAGGTACGCTTTACTCGCCAGAAGTAATCGAGACACGCTCTACTAGTTTCAAACCACATCGGGAACCGTACACGGTTACTAGTAAAGCTTTTCGTCTATAATTTATGAGAGTAAACCGAATATTACGAATAATAATTTATGTATTGGAAATTCAAGAAGAATTTTTTTATTCAAATTGACGCGCTGGTTGCGTCAACTTGAATGGTACGTGCAATTTTCCTTTTGCATAATATTAAGACTTTGACTGCCAATAAAAAACTGTTGAAGGTAAATCCTCCGCTAACGCCGGTCACCGGTGACCGACACATGGCGTTTAACGTTTTAAATATTCATAGGCTCGCCCCACATTACGTTGGAAATAACACTCGCAAGGTTTCACATCGATAGTTACAACGTGTATACTACAGCCGAAATTAATAACAGAATTAATAACATTCTTTGAACGAAGAATGGAGTACGATTTTGGATATTTAAACCAAAATTAGTCCATACATTTTACGTATTAATTTCGGCATTTAGAATTATAATTACTGTTTTAGCCAAATAAAAGCTATATTACTTAGATATTTTAATGCCACGCTGCGCAACCAACTTGCCAATGTACTAAACGATGTTACGTAGATTAAAATATTTAGTTGCGTTTCAGTTATTGTCACGATGTCTAGTGTGTAACTGGAATACTAGTATTTGTCGGAATGGCAACTTTTTACCAATCAATTATGATTTTTTAATATAATTAATGTTGTATAAACTAATTTTACTATCTTAGTCGTAAGTCAGTCAGTCAGTTGGTATCGTGCGTCAGTACGAATGGGTCGGCTCGACCGGACTCATACCACGGCCTCACAGGAAACCGACGTGAAACAACCAACTGAAGCGTTGTGTTTCGTCGTCGTTACCGGAGGCTCAATTCAATTCCTCCCTATCAATAATCCACATATTCTTATCCCCCAAAAGGCCGGCCAACGCACTCATAACACCTTTGGTGTTCGGGTATCCACGGGCGGCGCCATCAGGTGATACGTCAGCCCGTCTACCGGCTTATCCCATAAAAAATTGCATTCCTTTGCACTTTTTAAACTTCCCTACAAATATTAGTTTCGCCTCATACATTAGAACTCATAACATTCTGGAACTTTATTTTTTAAACCACTGAATTCCATTCAAATATGTTGTATTTGAGTATAATTCAGTACAACGTTAGTAGTTATACTATATCTAGATTCAGGAAATAATGTAGTAGATCTTAACAGTCTGTTACGGTTTATTCCACTTTGTTCACCTGGGTGATTTCACCTAGGTGAACAAAGTAGACTTTTTGGAGTCCTCAATTCACCTGGGAATTATTTCACCCAGGTGACATCACCTAGGTGAATTGAGTTGACTCAAGTAGTCTCCTTTGTTCACTTGTCAATTTAATTCACCCAGGTGCACAAAGGCGACTTTTTACTTTTACGTTGTGGACTTATATCACCTACCTACCTTACATCAAGTTAAATAAAAACTTTCAATTTAACATACATTTTAATATGTTCAAATATCAGATTAATGTTGGTCTATTACACATGCAAAAATATATCTCAATTTCTAACACTACGCTAGGAGTTCCATGTAATAGGGGTGAGCTTATTGCTGTACACTGGGTATAATTCCAAACTTCATAGTGTTTCATGCACCTTAACTACCTATAGGTACATTCAGATACTTTTTTAAATTATGGATGAATGATAGTATTATAAAAGTAAGACTAAACAAATATAAGCAGAAAGCTCGAAACTCCTAACCTTTCGTGGGTTACACGTGTTATTGTGAGTCAACCATAAAAGATAAACATATGCTGTTCTGAAATCTATATATATAAAAGAAAGACGTGTTAGTTACACTATTTATAACTCAAGAATGCCTCAATCGATTTAGCTGATAATTGGCAGGGAGGTAGCTTAGAACCAGGAGACGGACATAGGATACTTTTTATAGAGGTAGAATACTTTTACTTTTTACCGAAAATCACGAATGGGAACGGGGGAAAATGGGATTGCGCGTACGAAGTCGCGGGCAGAAGCTAGTATTATTTAGATAATTTTGTGTAAAATATTTCCGTCATACATGATTTCTATGTAGATTTAACCAATAATGCTGCACACGCGACGGAAGCTTAAAATGGATTAACTCTTCCCGTTTTCCCAATATTTCTCTTCACTGCTCTGTTCCTATTGATTGTACCGTGATGGAAGTATACTTTAACTTCCCCGGGAGTATGAAGAATGATTGAACCAAGTTTCGTTAAAATCCGTCGAGTAGTCTTTTCTATAAGGAACATACAGGCAGACAGACAAAAATTTTACTGTATGCATTTTTGTCATTACTTAGTAGCAATCACCCCCTGATAATTATTTTGGAAATATATTTCGTGTACAGAATTGACCTCTCTACAGATTTATTACAAGTATAAATAAATAGATTTGGCGGCACCGCAAAGTAGGTACACTTCAATGAACATTTAGGTGGATTTTCAGACCACATGTGGAAATAAAATTTCGTTCGTAATTATACCCAGTGTACAGCTATAAGCTGGAACTCCTAGCGTAGTGTTAGAAATTGTGATATATTTTTGCATGTGTAATAGACCAACATTAATCTGATATTTGAACATATTAAAATGTATGTTAAATTGAAAGTTTTTATTTAACTTGATGTAAGGTAGGTAGGTGATATAAGTCCACAACGTAAAAGTAAAAAGTCGCCTTTGTGCACCTGGGTGAATTAAATTGACAAGTGAACAAAGGAGACTACTTGAGTCAACTCAATTCACCTAGGTGATATCACCTGGGTGAAATAATTCCCAGGTGAATTGAGGACTCCAAAAAGTCTACTTTGTTCACCTAGGTGAAATCACCCAGGTGAACAAAGTGGAATAAACCTCTGTTACGATCTCACAATAGAGACAACTTAAGTACCTACTGAATCGATTCCGATGAGATTTGATTCAGCCGGAAAATAATCGGTATATATAAAAATGAATTCCTGTTCGTTAGTCTTGCTAAAACTTGAAAATGATGGGATCCATTTTTCAAGTGGCAGTCCAGGGAAGGATGGCGTGAAAAAATGTTTGACGAATATACGAAGTTTGCGGGTCAGTTAGTAGTATATGAAATTATAGATTAGTTAATTCAACATTAATTTGTTATGAAATTAATTCTTGATTGGAATTGGTACACAATTCTTCAAGCCCTTTTTTTCTCTAATATTGGGCGGAAGTGTTTTATATCTAGATGGCAGCACTTCATGTAATTACTGTGATTTTCTTTTTAAATTGTGTTTTGTAATACTAACAATTATGGTGTGTTATTAATTAAAGATCTAAAATACTTGACACAAATCTTATATTGTTTTTATTTTACGTGTTCTTGCGTGTATCTTAATTTTAAGTTATTTTCTGTGTTGCTCTAGGGCCCGTATTAATAAACCGATATCAGCGTAAGAGTGAGATGTTAAGATCCTGTTTGATATTCCGACATATTAATAAACAAAACCTAATACGCGGTTTAAGACCTTGTCATCACCTGAGATCGTATTGTTTAATAAACATTACTCGGGTTTCAAGATCGGTATTAGGACGGTTATCAAGACCACGATTGTTAAGTTCAGTCGACCCTGGACTTAATATCGTGAACTCGTACCTAAGTATTTCGCGGGAACCATGAATATTGAGAATATTATTTCCGAAATCAATTATTATGATGAAGTCGACTAATACGATATATATTTTATGGCCTTTTTAAAATCTATTAAGTACCTACCTAAAGTTTATATAAGGGACGCGACAAATCCCTTCGAATTACCTACGCAAAACGGTTTCGATTTAATCAAGAATCAGTGCTGTTGATATCGTATCGTTGATAAGTAATAATTTGGTAAAAAGTGAATTTTTAAAAACCCCAGCAGTACTTTGCCCGACCCGGGAATCGAACCCGAGACCCCTTGCCCGGCAGTCGCACTTGCGACCACTCGGCCAACGAGGCAGTCGATTAATAAGTAACTTGTAAATAAACACGAAACACTGATATGTATGATTGTATTATCAAGTACCTAATAAACAATTGAGAGAAAGAGACAGATATAATAATGAGGTGACGCGCAATCCCTGGTAGGTATGTGCTTTTGTCACCAAATTAAACGTAACTTTATAATAAATAGTGCTTTTTTATGGTCAAAGAAATCATAATGTATACAATATAAAAAAGTAATATAGTTTCCTAAAACTTCAATCAATTTAAACTGGAAAAAAACTTTTATTCCTATACATACAGAGTTGAATATTATCGTTCTACAAAGCTATTACTAAACGGAATGAACGAAAGATGTAATAGTTCGTTCGCTGTGACGTAACAAGTCTCAACATCAGGATTTCATTGAGTGTCAAATTACGAATCTTGATAACCCGATCCAAACCGCGGTATCACCTGAGATCGTGTGGATATAGGTTTATTAATTAGCGTCGACATTAAGATGCTGATCGCATCTTGAGAACGTATCAACTGATGCCGGTCTTGATATCGTGATTGAGACTTATTTATTAATACGGGCCTAGTTTTGAGATTATTCAGGAAGATTTTTACAGTCACACAATTTTGGTTAAATAATAATTTCATAGATAGACCACTATGATTTTTAAAATTCTGAGCTTGAAATGTCATATTCGATAGTTAGGAACTTTTTTGGTTTGACTAGTTAATCGTTTGCTAGACTAATTTACGACTTAAAATTAATAGATTAGAGTGTATAATAAATGTATTATTAAGATGATACATTTATCTCTTT